CATTTAAGTTGTAGATGGGGTTATTCAAACTATAACAATTTCCAACAGCTACCACCTGCTGCCTTTGGGCCACTAGAGTCCATTTTCCCCATATTAATGGACAGACAAAACTACCTGGGACTTTAGCCTCACTCCAGCCCCAGAAGAGCCCTTAAATAATGTCTAAATGGTGTGGGCATATGAAAACTACATCCTTGCCTCAAATCAAACAACTCTTGTCATAATTTATACTCCAGCGTTTCCCTACAAGATAAGGCTGAAATGATCCTATGCTGAAAAGTACTTGAAACTTCACCCTTGTTTAGATTTCTCCACGATTCTGTCTTGCTTCCTGTATTCCCTTTCCAGTTTCTCCTAAGAACATTTCTTCAATAAGTCACTTCCACAGAAATATATGCCTTTAGTTTTTTTGTTGGTTTGTTTGTTTTTTCTTTTTGAGATGGAGTCTCACACTGTTGCCCAGGCTGGAGTGCAGTGGCACAATCTTGGCTCACTGCAACCTCCGCCTCCCAGGTTCAAGCAATTCTCCTGCCTCAGCCTCCCCAGTAGCTGGGATTACAGGGGCCCACCCACCACGCCTGGCTAATTTTTTGTATTTTTTCTTTTTAAAGAAATGGGGTTTCACTATGTTGGCCAGGCTGGCCTCTGACCTCATGATCCACCTGCCTCAGCCTCCCAAAGTGCTGGAATTACAGATGTGAGCCACTGCACCCGGTCTGCCTTTAGATTTTCAAAAGACTTTTTGCCCAGTAACACCTAACCAAATCAAAGTTATCCATAACTTGTATATTATGAGATTGAGTTATCTTTCCAAATTATTCAAAATTATTTGCAGATACAATTTCAAAAAAATGTTCAAACAAAAATTCCAAGGAGTTATTGTACACTATTTGACAATTTAGTTTTTTAAATTGTTTAAAGAGGATAGAACTCAAAGTAGACAAGATGAAACACGTTTAGAATATCTTGCCCTATCAGATATCAAGACCTTATAAAAATACAGTAAATAAGACAGTGTAAGGTTGGCCCAGAACCAGGCTTATACAAATACAGAAATAATATATATAACAGAACCAACATCATAGACTAATGAAGAAAAGAAGGACTGCTCAATAAATCATGATGGAATGTTTGATTATCCATCTAGGAGGGATCAAATTGAATCCTTTCCTCAAACAATTTCCAACGATCAATTTGAAGTCAAACTTAAATGAACGGCACAACTTTAAATTTTTGGAATAATATATCAGTTAATATGTAATCCCAGCACTTTGGGAGGCCGAGGCGGGTGGATCACGATGTCAAGAGATCAAGAGACCATCCTGGTCAACATGGTGAAACCCCGTCTCTACTAAAAATACAAAAAATTAGCTGGGCATGGTGGTGCATGCCTGTAATCCCAGCTACTCAGGAGGCTGAGGCAGGAGAATTGCCTGAACCCAGGAGGCAGAGGTTGCGGTGAGCCGAGATCGTGCCATTGCACTCCAGCCTGGGTAACAAGAGAGAAACTCCATCTCAAAAAAAAAAAAATATATATATATATATATATATTAGTTAATATCTTCCTGACACTGATTTAAGAAAGATATTTCTTAAACAAGCACTAACAACAGAAAATTTTAAACTACATTGAAAATAAAAATGTTTAGCACAGAATAAAATGAAAAGATAAGCCACAAGTTAATCTTATAACTGATATATAACTGACAAAGGATTAGTCCAACTACACATAAAACTCTTAGAAATCTATTATTTAATTCAAATAAATCAATAGAATAATGGGCAAAAGATATGATAGGCAAGTTACAGAAAAGGAAGCACATATGAGAAGAAGCATATAAAATTTTGCTTAATCTCATTAGTAGTCACAGAATGATATACTACAGAGAGGGTGCCATAAACCAAAGGTTTATTTACTTCTCCCCACACCCCCCATCACCCCCAACTTTCACAAAATTCCTATGTTGAAATCCTAACCCCCAACGTGATGGTATTTAGAGGTGGGCCTTTGGGAGGCGATTAGGCTACGAGGATGGAGCTGCCATCAATGGGATGAATGCTCTTATAAAAGAAACTCTAGAGCTCCTTCACCCCTGCCACCATGTGAGGACTCAGAAAGAAGATGGCCATCCATAAACCAGGAAGCAGGCCCCCAGCTCAGCAGACGCCAAAGCTGCCAGTGCTTTAATCTTGGACTTAATTTGGAGCCTCTAGAACTATGAGAAGTAACTATTTGTTGCTTGAGTCACCCAGTGTATAGCATTTTTATTATAGCAGCCCAAGGTTACTAAGACACAAGGTATACTCTGTGTATCCTCAAGATTAGCGAAAATGTTATGAAGTTTTGGCCATGCCACGTGACGGAAAGAATGTACATCATCAGAATCTCTTATACATTGCTGTAGGGAGTGAATGTTGGTACAACCACTTTCAAAAGCAATTTGGCATTTTTTTGTTAAAGCTGAACATTTGTATACCCTTCAACATAGCAATTCAATCCCTAGGTATATGCCCCAGGAAAACATTTTCACACATATGAGACTGTTCATAACAGCACTCATCTAGCTGAAAAATATGGAAACAACCAAGGTATATTTATAAAAGAATAGTAAAATTATGGCATATTCACCCAATGAAATCTCGTGCAATAGTAAAAATGATGAAATACAATTACATGCAAGAATAAAGATAAATTTTTGAAATATTATGTTAAGTGAAAAAAGCATGTCAGAAGACTACAAATGTATAACACCATTTTTATAAAATTAGAAATGAGAAAAAATAAGCAATATATTGGTTAGGTGTATATACACATAGGTTAAAGCTATTTTCCTAAAGTAAGGAAGTCATAAACCAAACTTGAGTATATTGGTTATCGCTGTGAAGGCAAAGAATAGAATACAGAAGACACATACGATGCAAGTTATTAGGAATGTTGTTAAGTTGATAACAAGTTCATAGGCGATTATTAAATAATTATGTTTTATAACATATTAATAATGGTATTTATTACTTATTACATATATTAAATAATACACATATTATTTGTACCAAACATTTTTAAGAAGTAATATTTTTAAATATTTTATGAAGGGAATCAGCCATGGGACTCCTTCTCACCTCTAGCCTACCTTCCTTTTCTGCCTTCACTGTGGACACTTTCACCTTCCAAGAAGGAGTTCATGGGCCCTTCCCCAGCACCATACCTACCACCATATCCTTTCTCTGCTCACTCTCCAACCACAGCAGAATAAGTAAATGTATAATAACAATTACGGCCAGGGGTGGTGGCTCACGCCTGTGATCCCAGCACTTTGGGAGCCGAGGCGGCTGGATCACGAGGTCAAGAGATGAAGAACATCCTGGTCAACAAGGTGAAACCCCGTCTCTACTAAAAATACAAAAATTAGCTGGGCATGGTGGCACGTGCCTGTAATCCCAGCTACTCAGGAGGCTGAGGCAGGAGAATTGCCTGAACCCAGGAGGCAGAGGTTGCGGTGAGCCAAGATCACGCCATTGCACTCCAGCCTGGGTAACAAGAGCAAAACTCCATCTCAAAAAAAATAAAAATAAAAAAAATAACAATTACATCTTGTTTATAACTGAGAAGTCCTTCCGAAAAACTCAGTACTGAAGGGTAAATATACTGACAGAGTAGCTGAGTGACCAGTCAATGAGCTTCATCTACTAGTGACTTTCAGAATACCTGTCGTAGGAACATTAAAATTGGGCTGTGTCTTAAGGAAGAAGAGTACGGGGAAATACAATTAAATCTTCTTAATCTGATGTTTTACCCTCTTGTGATAATTGTGTCAACTCAGAAATCTATAGAAACTCTATGCAATATTTTCTTTTTATAAAATCACCTAAAAATAATTCAAAGGAAGTATGTCACTAAAGTGAGAAAAAAAAAAAAAAGCTTGACTCAGATTTCATTTAGTCTATAGTCCTGAACAAAATAGAATCACAGGATGTCTGAGCTGAAGGTCCTTAGAGATTCGAACCAATCTCCGTGATTGTGTACGTCAGGAACTGGAAGCCCTGACAACTCAGATGGAGGTGCTGATGGCCCTGCACCTAGAACCCTGTTCCCCGACTTGACATCTAGTGCAATTTCCACTGTATCGAACAGCAGCCTCATCTCTTACTGCCAAGTTTTTAGACCTTACACCGCTCCTCCTGTAGTACTTACCCAGTCTCCTCACCTTCAACTGAAACTCAGATGTCTTTTCTCCCCTGAAGTAGGTGATCTCTCCCTCCAACCCAATTTCACCCTCTTTTCTCACCCCAGCATGAAGCAGGAAGAACCATCTGCCATAGCAAGCACACCTATGATTCCACAACCTAAAATGCTTCCTTTGTTGGTCAATCTTCTGTAAACAGCAGTCTAGGCAAAGAGTGGGATTCCTGAGTAATTGCTTTCCAGTCACCTATGATCTGACAAATCCATGATGTAAGTGCTTCAATTTCCTCAAAGAAAAGAGTAGAAGCCAGGCGTGGTGACTCACACCTGTAATACCAGTACTTTGGGAGGCCAAAGTGGGCAGACCACTTGAAGTCAGGCATTCAGGACCAGCCTGGCCAGCATGATGACACCCTGTCTCTACTAAAAATACAAAAATTAACGGGATGTGGTAGCACATGCCTATGGTCCCAGCTACTAGGGAGGCTAAGGAATGAGAATTACTTGAGCCTGGCAGGTGGAGGTTTCAGTGAGTTGAGATTGCATCGCTGCGCTCCAGCCTGGGCGACAGAGCAAAACTCTGTCTCAAAAAACAAAAGAAAGAAAGAAAAGAGTAGAATTTTCACATGCATGATAACTCATTGTTAGAACTGAGTACATTAAACTTTGAAATTTTACTTTAGAGTAGATACACGTTGATATGTACATATCCATATGTTCACAAAAATGTCCTTATGTACCTGTCTTCATTTACATGAATATATATGCATATATGCCTGCATACATGTATAAGACTTACATATCACTACCGCTCTACTTTAAAATACTGTATGAAGGCAGTAGTAGAAAGAGCACTAAACTAGCACTCAGAAGTCCTGTGTGCGACCTATGTACATAGTTTAGCCCGTCTGTATCTCCACTTACCTTTAAACCTGAATAACCATTCATGTTCCCACATTGTTCCAAGGAGTTTTAAAAGGGGGTTATTTATTCAACAGATTAAGCTGATGTATGAAAATTTCTGAGAATATTATGCTTTCAAGGTGTCAACTGCCATTTTATTGCTATTATTTTTTCAGAATCAGGATCAACATTTGCATCCGGGTTTGTTCGGCATTAGATAGTCTAATGAGTCCTCTTTATTACCACCGCTCTCACCAAAACCTCATCACATTCCTGGTGATTACATCTCATTCATGAAGTTGTTGAAAGGAAGAAAGGAGTAAATAGAATTAAAACATTTAGGAGAGTCTCTGCAGATTGGAAGAATTCAGCAAGGGTCAGCTTTTATCACACTCTAAAATGTTAACTCCACAATTACAAGGAGTTTTGTCTGCTTCCTTTTTTGCTGTATTTCTAGCCCCATGAATATCACCCAGCACATGCTAAGTGTACATGAAATAATCTGATAGTTTGGTAACCAGGGCTTTGAGGGAAAGGCAGGGATAGAGGGGTGAATAGGAAGGGAGAGGAATAGAAGGTATTATTTAAAAACAGAGCTAGCAGCCACCATTGAAAAACAGACTTTGATGTAGGTCTTTACAAAGTCTTATAGGTCTTCTCACAGCCTTCTGAAGCTGGTATCATCAATGTCTCCTTCTGTAAATATGGAAATTGAGGCCCAGTGAGGTTAAATGACCCATGAACGTTTACAAGAGATACCAAATCCAGCTCTTCTAATTGCATCCTGCACAAACTTGGCTCCCTCCAGTGGCAAAATGGAGCAAAGCAACAGGGGCTACAGAGGGCTGCAGTTAGCTGTTTTGCTGGAGAGAAAAATCAGCACCACAGAAAGAAGTGTTGACAACGTGTTCTTCCTGGCTCTTCTCTTCATCATCCGAAGTCATCATCACTGGCATTCCTTGGTCCTTCAGAAGTGATCGTTCCTGCTTTATCAAGAGATCCTGAGGTGAGAAAAGCCCTAAAAGCTAACTTAGGGACCTGTATTCTAGCCCTCACCCTGCTCTGGAGTTAAAGTATAACTTTGAGTAAATCCCTTAACCTCTCCACATTATTTGTTACTTATTTTCTTATCTGCCTGCTGAGAGCATGAAGGGATAAGAGTAAAGTGGCTTTTTATTCTTAAAAGAGTGAATTTCATTGAGCACTGTGTTAGCCAACACAAAGGGATTGTGCAGTGATTTTCTTCATTTATCAATGAGATACCTGGACTGTCAAGACACTCCCTCATTCACAGGCCCTCACAGGTTTCCTGAATGAGCTCTTCAATATCACCCTACGAGCCTTCTAGACTGTACTCTCCCTGAGGGAAAGATTATGGCTTACTTTTATTTATGTTCTCACTCACTGTAAACATTCAATACATATTTAATGAATAAAGGATTGAAAGAAAATGTGGGATTATTATAACAACAAGAGCTAGGAGGACAGTTTCCATTGCAAACATCAAACTGGAAATACAAAGTCTATTTTAGATGCTACAAGATGGAAAGTCTCCCAATTTCCTGGCTGGACTGAGATTCTCGGAGTGTCACTTCTCCCCTAAGCTCCTCTTGAGCCTAACTAAACAGCTTCTTCATGGCATTTTTCACTTTGTTGTTCCTTAGCGTATAGATCAAAGGGTTCAGCAAAGGCGGCATTACAATGTTAAAGAGGATGATAAGTTTGTCAGCAGCCAGGGTGGTAGAAGGACGAATGTACATGAACATGGGGGGTACGAGAACCAAAAGGACAGTGATTACGTGTGAGCCACATGTGGAGAGAGCCTTACGCCGGTCCTCAGATGACTGGCTTCGTAGGTTCAGTAAGATGACAACATAGGAAATGATAAGGATGAAGAAGGAGACTAAGGAAATCATGCCACTGTTCGCCACCACAATGAGACCCACCATGTAGGTGTCTGCACAGGCCAACTTGAGCAGGGGATGAACATCACAGAAGAAGTTGTCTATCTCATTGGGCCCACAAAAAGGCAGCTGAACCGTGAGGAGGGTCTGCAGGATGGAATGCAGGAAGCCAGCTAACCAGGAGGCCCCAGCTAGCAGGCCACACTTCCGGCGATCCATGATAGTTGTGTAGTGCAGAGGCCTACAGATGGCCACATAGCGGTCATAGGCCATGGCTGTAAGGAGGAAGATCTCAGTGCCACCAAAGAAGTGGGCAGAAAAGAGCTGGGTCATGCAGCCATTGAAGGAGATGATCTTATGCTCCACAAAAGTGTCAGCAATCATCTTGGGTATGGTAGCGGATGGATAACATATGTCAGCAAAAGACAAGTGGCTCAGGAAGAAATACATGGGAGACTTCAGGGTCTTGCTGGAATTGATGGTGGTGATGACCAGAAGGTTCCCCAGGACAGTGAGCACATGAAAGAGGAAGAATATCACAAAGCATGCATGCTGCATCTCTCTGCTCTGAAAAAGGCCAAATAAAATAAACTCAGTCACGTTGCTTCTGACACCCATGGATTAACTGCCCCGAGACCAACAAAGTGGCTGGCTGGCTCTGCAAAGACATAAATTATGTGATATAAGAAAGTTTTGTGAGATACCACCAAGATTATGGAGTAAGAAAGACACTAGCCTTCATCCCTATGACCAAATATATACATAATATATATGATATATATATAATATATATTATACAAATAATATATATAATATATATAAATATAATATATATTATATTTAATATATTATTTTTATATTATATATTAAATTTTATATATAATATTATATAGTATATTATTTATATAATATATATAATGTATTATTTATATATAATATATATTACTTATATACTATATAATTACATATTTTACATGTTATACATATTTTATATAATATTTATAATTTATAATATATATTTTATATTTATTATATTATTTATAATATATATTAGTTATATAATATATATACAGCCATCCACAAACCAAAATAGCTCTGAGAGGGCTCAAGGGCCCATTAAAGAATCTGCAGCAATACAGAGGAGCAAGAACATGGAGAATAACCATACACAGAGGATTGTTGGTGATATCTGCATACTTGAGATGCCAGGAGATGGTTAGGAACAAAGAGGAAAGGTTGAGGCAATTAGATCAGCCATGTGGTGGTAACCACCATGATCCCTGCTTTGCAGAGAACACTGGAATTTATGTCACTGAGATAACCAAAAGCCATTCCCACCAGGAAATCTTAGAAAGGGAGACACAATCGTACTCCATCCACCTGCAAGAAGCAGATGCTATTGAGCTGCTTTGGAAAAGGAGCCGCCACCTCCCTAACACCAAACTGCAGCTTCTCCTTGAGGGCTTACACTCGGACCCAGGGTCTGTGACTGCCCTGCACCCACCCATGTAGCAGACACTGGGCCATCACTAGAGCAAACTAGTTCACATGCTGGGCCCTGGAGCCAAAGTCTGTCTGAGCATGCCCACACTTTGGGCACCAGTTCATCCTCGACAGAGAGTTAGTCCCCACCCCAACTTATAGCCATTGTAACTCTGCCTATTTCTATGCTCCCATTCTTGACTCCCTGGCTGCTTCAAAGCATTCATACCTCTAGCACTGTAACCTATGTGGTGGCAGGAGGGCCTTCATCCTAAGCACCAGTGTCATTATCATTCTGGATCCCAGAATCATAGTTCCTTCATGTGTGCCCATGCTCCAGGCCTCAGTTACATGGCTGCACAATAGGTGCCACCCATAATACACTTGTGCCACCAACACCAAGAGGAAGCACACAAGACAGATCCATGTTAAATAGGATTCCCTAAGCCACAACTTCCCCAGTAGGAAAATAAATTGAGAAGAGCCTAGCAGCCACCACCAGCAATAAATCCAGCAACCCTTGCTGCCACTACAAACATCCACAGCATTGGCCACTGAGGATCCCTGAAACCTGTGTCACCACTGACTTCAGCTAACAGAGCCCCACAAACATTATTCATCTGTACCCCACTGGTGCCAAAACCTATCCATCCCACCCACCCAATCCATCCCATTTAATCCTTGTGGCAGTCTGGGCCACAAGAATTACAAAGCACCATCATGCCCCATAAGAGAAAATCTTTCCACACTGAAATTAGCCAATGAAATTTGCAAGGATGACTGCTCCACCAAATGCGCAGACATCAACAAGAGGGTAACAAGAAACAATGAAAAACCAAGGAATCATACCACCAAAAGAACACAGTAATTTCCAAGTTGCTGACCCCAAAGAAATGGAGGTATGTAAACAGTCTGAAAAATAATTCAGCATAACTGCTTTTAAAGCTTCACAAAGTAAAGGAAAATACAGATAAATCATTTTTTTTAATTAGGAAGACAATAAACAACAAAATGAGAAATTTAACAGATAGTGGAATTACTTTAAAAAAATAAAAAAGAGAGACATAAATAAAATGAGAAATGAAAGAAGAGACATTACAATTCATACCACCGAAATATGAAGAATCACAAAAGACTACTATGAACAATCATAGACCTACGAAATGAATAACCCAGATGAAATAAGCTCCTGGCCACATACAATCTAAGAAGACTGAATCATGAAGAAATAGAATATATGACCAAACCAATAATGAGCAAAGAGACTGAATAAGTAATTACAGTTTTCCATCAAAGAAAATCCCAGGAACTGATTACTACTAAACTCTACCAAACATTTAAAGAACTAACACTGATCCTTCTCAAACTCTTCTGAAACAAAATGAAAAGGAGGGGATATTTCCAAACTCATTTTATGAGGCCAACATTACCCTAATACCAAAGCCACACTCGGACACTACCAGAAAAGAAGACTACAGGCTAATATCCCTGATGAACACAGATGCAAATTTCCTTAACAAAATCCTAGCAAACCAAATTCAACAGCACATTAAAAAAAATTATCTGCCTTGATCAAGTGGGATTTATCCCTGAGATACAAGGACGGTTCAACATATATAAATACTACATTAACAGAATTAACACAAAAAATATATTGTCATCTCAATGGATGAAGAAAAACTGACAAAATTCAACATCCTTTTATGATAAAAACTCTCAACAAATTAGTTACAGAAAGAATGTAACTCTCAACACAATAAAGACCATACATGACAAGCCCACAGCTAACATCAGATTCAATGGCAAAAAGTTGAAAGCTTTTCCTCTAAGATTGGGAATAAGATAAGAATTTCTACTCTTGCTGCTTCTACTCAACATCATACTGGAAGTCTTACCCCAGGTAATTAAGCAATAAAATGAAATACAAGTAATCCAAAGTAGAAAGGAAGAAGTTAAATTGTCTCTGTTTACAGATGTGTGATCTTATATACAGGAATCCTAAAGTCTCCCTCCCCACAACCTCTGCCAAAAAAAAAAAAAGCTGTTAGAACTAATAAACAAATTTAGTAAAGTTATAATATCCAAAATTACCATACAAAAATTAGTAGTATTTCTATACACTAACAATAAACTATCAAAAAAGTCAAGAAAACAATTGTTTAGAACCACTATGAAAAATAATAATAATTGAAATAAATTTAACCAAAGAGTTGAAAGATGTGTACATGAAAAATTATAAAATATTGGTAAAATAAATTGAAGAAGACATTAGTAAATTGAAAGATGCTCCATGTTCATGGACTGAAAGAATTAATATTGTTAAAATGTTCATGCTATCCAAATCAATCTGCAGAGTCAATCAAATTTCTATCAAAAGTCTAATGACATTTTTCACAAACATAGAAAGAAATCTTAAAATTCATATAGAACTTTAAAAGACCCAGAAGACTTAAATAATTATAAACAAGATGGGAAGCATCATACTAAGTGATTTCAAAATCTACTATTAATTTGTAGTCATCAAAATAGCATGATACTAACATAAAGACAGACATACGGACCAATGGAACAGAGAGCCCAGAAATAAATACACACATTTACAGTCAATTGATTTTGGAAAAAATTCCATGAACACACAATAAGGAAATAACAATCTCTTCAATAAATGGTGCTTGGAAAATTGAATAACCAAATGCAGCATAATGAAATAAGATTCTCATATTATACCACAAAAAAATCAACTCAAAATAGATTAAAGGCTTTATAGTAAAACCTGAAACTATAAAACCACTAAAAGAAAAACATGGGGAAAAAGCTCCATGACACTGGTCTGAGCAATAAGTTTTCTGAATATGAGCCAAGAACACAGGGAACAAAAGCAAAAGTAGACAAATGGAATTGCATTAAACAAAATCTTCTGCACAGCCAAGAAAACAACAGACTGAAGAGACAACCTAAATATATTTGCAAACAATAAATCTGATGAGGTTAATATACAAGATATGTAAGAAATTCAAACCACTCAATATTAGAAAGCAAATAATCAATTTTAAAATGAGCAGAGGCTCTGAATAGACATTTGTCAAAAAAAGATATTTAAATGGCCAGGAGATATATGACAAAATGATCAACATCACTAATTATCAAAAAATGCAAATTAAAACCACAATGAGATATTACCTCACATATGTTAAAATTACTATTAACAAAAAGACAAAAAATAATAAGTGTTGCAAGGATGTTAAAAAAAAAAGGAGTCCTTACACACAGTTGGTGAGAATGCAAATTAGTTCAGTCATTATGGACAACAGTATGGATGTTCCTCAAAAAAATGTTCCTTCAGCCACTATGGGCTAAAGTGCTCTGGGGCCCTAAATACACTTGAAAGGCAATTTGGACCACAAGGATTGCAATACCTAGTGCTGATCTGGGCTTGGAGTCCATGAACTTAAGGGCACACAACCTAGTGTGACACTTGCCTGGGCAGCTAAGAAAATGCTTGTGCCACCTTTCCCCAAAACCCAGGCAGCACAGCTTGTGACTCCAAAAGTGACCCTTCTTTCCACTTGAGGAGAGGAGGGAAGGATAAATAGGACTTTTGTCTCACGTCTTGGATACCACTCAACCACAGTAGAATAGGGCATCAGTCACAGAAATAAGGACCCCATTCCAGGCCCTAGATCCCAGGTGACATTTCTAAACACACCCTGGGGCAGGGGGGATCCCATTGTCTTGAAAGGAATGACACAGTCCTAGCAGATCAGAAAAAAACTGAAAGAAATTCAAGATAATACAGAGAAGGAATTCAGAATTCTATCAGAAGATTCAACAAGGAGATTAAAATATTAAAAAGAGTCAAGCAAAAATCCTGGGGTTAAAAAATACAACAGACATACTGAAGAATAAATTAGTGTCTCTAATAGTAGAATTTATCATGCAAAAGAAAGAATTTATGAGACTGAAGACAGGCTATTTGAAAACACAATTAGAAGAGACAAGAATAAAAAGGAATATAGCATTCCTACAATATCTAGAAAATCACCTCAAATGGACAAATTTAAGTTGCTGGCCTTAAAGAAGAGGTAGAGAAAGAGATAGAGGTAAAAAGTTTATTCAAAATGATAATAACAGAGAATTTCTCAAACCTAGAGAAAGATATAAACA